ATTATTAAAATTATTATTGTTATTATCAAATATAAAAATTCAAGAAGGAATCTAAGCATTGCACACAAAATTCAATTTCAAATAAAAGTACATCAAAATTGCAAAAGAAAAATGTGACATGAAAAAGGAGCATTTAAATTAAACAGAAAAAAAATGGAAAGTGAATGTCATTTAAAATGGACCAATAACTGGGTTTAATGTATGTTGTCATGCATTTATTTAATTATTATTTTTGTTATATTATTTTTATATACTAGTGTAATAGTCATTACAGTAATAATTATTATTAATTAATAGTTAATATTAATATAATTAATAACAATTACAACAACAACTATGACTGTATTAAGGAAACTTATTACAGCATTTTTTTGTATGTGTAGAAATTGGTTGTAGAGGATTAATTACCCAAGAAATATTGAAAAATCAACCAAAGTTGATTTTCCAAATTACTGCAAAGCAATTGAATCCACTTGAGATACTTCTAATATACAATTTTGAATGCCCGTCATAGTATAGTCTGAGAAAATGTGCCTGGGTTTTATTGTTTGTACGACTTTTGTATTTGAAATGAATGTAAATCATTCTCTATTTTTAAAAAAATCAAGATATAGCAAGTATGCCAACAATAGTACAGAAAAGCAAATAATCAATTCGATGAGTAATTAGATACGTAATAATAAGATAGCATTACCAAAAGAATGCCTCATAGCACATCTTATTATACATCTCTTTAGGATCTTGCTATTTAATTGGTTAATTATATATTACAAAAACATAGAATTTATATGAATACAAAAAAATAGTACATTGCATGGTTGACGTCTTTTTATGTTCAAATTTTTTTTTTCATTTGCTAATACTTTGACGCTGTTCGATTATAGTCCTAGTCAATAAACTGGGCCGCTGCGTTGGGAAAGGTAAAAAATGTAGGTCAGTTGCGTACCACCTTTGACATTTTGACCATTTTGAGCACAGACTATCTTGGTAATCTAAATTCGCCTAACAAATGACAAAAATATTTATATGGTAGGTGTTGTAGAAACAAATAATGAACTAGATTTGAACTCGTCACTGAGGACGAGTTAGGTGATCCGCCGCACTTTGACCCTTGAAGAAGTGTGCGCGGTGTGGATTGAACAATTTTTTTATGCTGAAAATGGCCTAAAGTTTACGCTAATTTAAAAGATTTAAAAGATTTACTCATGCGTACGCGCACGTCATGACGCACATGCGTATGGTAATGTCACAAAATGTTGACTTCTGATATGAGATATATATATCAACTCTCACTGACAAACGCCTGTTGGTGAGGGACTTATCATTCATAATATTTATCATATATAAATATTCAGTTTTTTAAAATTCAGATGGCAATATGATGACATCACAATGTTCGATAGCCATAATGATCTATAAAATCATATCTACAAGAATATGTAATAAAAATTGGGGGTCACCTTTCATTCTAAGGAGCTATAACTGATTAAAAATAGGCATAATTTTAAGCATATTTGATTGTTGTTGGAACCCAAAATATGTCAGAAAACGTAATTTCTAGCTTCCGTACGTGCTGTGCGCGTAAAAATACGTGCGCGTAGTGAAAAATTTTTTTAAAATATGAAATGCTCAAAATAACCTGAAACGTGCTCTTATTTAGTCATAAAGTGATATCGAGCATTTTGAAATTTTGACGAACACGTACGAGCGCGTTATGAAGCGCACGCGTAAAATTAGGGTACATTAAAGTCAACATTGACCTGAAGTTAATGCTCACTTGATACTATTTCAAAATGGCAATTGGTTAGACTAATGTGATCGATAATGTAAAAATGCAAAATTGTGCGTAGATGACGTCACGCATGACTGGTAACCTTGAAAAAAATAATGTGTCTATTTTGTACAAGGCGTTACATGTATGTATGTTTTACTTTACTTCGAGTACTGTAGGTCTAAGTCACAGGTGGACTAAGTGTGGTTCACTGGCCACTTGTGGTCCAATGGTGATTTTGTTGCAACCCGTGAAAATAAATAAAAAATACTGTGTAGGGCCAACCATCTTTGGCTAAAAATCTCTTGTTTTTTACAGCTCACATTGATCATCTGTAAAAAGTAATAATAAAACTGAGCATAAAAGCAGTGCATGATGGGAAGCACACTGGAAATATTAAAGTTTGGGTACGGCCCTCAGTGTTAAATTAAAAATTTACTTCGGCCCTCCGACCCATTTTTATGCCCACTTCTGGTCTACGTACTCCATGATACTGCTCTATGGTGGTGTGAGGACAGTCAAATATACTAAAAACACAAGGTAGAACTCTTGCATAGCAAAAGTGTAGCGTTGTGGCCTTGCGTTATCCATAGAATTGCAGCAGCCGATGACCGTTGACTGCCGGGCACATTGAGTGCCCTGCTTGACTCTCAGTGTGACCAGACTCCAGTTAAGGATGTATTGTCCCTGGCAAAAAACAAAAAAAATCATAAAAATCATTTTTGAAATTTACTTGCCCATTTTGAAGTAACATAAAATTTATCAACTTGAACATAGAAATTAGTGTATTTAAAAAATGCTTACCCATAAAAACCATCATTTTACAGCGAAAAAATTATAGAAACACTTCCCGTCACTGGAAGTGTTTTATTATCTTTCTTATAATTATCCAGTTAAAAGATCAGGGAACACATTTTTTTAATTAAATAGTTTCTATGCTCAAGTAAGTTAATAATTTGTATGTTACTGCAAAATGAGCAAGTTAATTAAAAAATTATTGTTTTATGATTTTGGTCATTTTCAAGGGACAGTACATCTTTAATAACTAATGCTAGCCAAGCTTGAACCAGGGTCTACAGCGCAGGAAGCAAGGATATTTCTACCTCTCAGCCAACCATTCAACTCATAATCATGCACCGGTATGTGCAGCAGCAAATATGCTATGACATTTTCAGTTGACTATGGAATAGTAATTATATGAATACAGTGAAGTAAAAGAGGCTTTGAGTGCTTTTGCTTTAACCCAAGACTAGAAGGATCCTCACTTCCCAATATGTAGACTGTCCCCTTTAAAGCTGCCCTACAACAATGTCGCTGATACGAAGAGCACCCATTGGTTGAAGATACATTTTTTTATTGTGTTAAAATAAAGTTATTCATTTTTTTTTATTCTGCTAAAGTAAAATATTGACGTGATATTCTTAAGGCGTAAAATTGCTTATTAGAGAATACCTATAAATAAACTTTTTTTTTTTAAATATCAAGAGCTTTTAGAGATTCAATGAAGTGCCAGAGGGGCAGTCGTAATGTGAAGAAATCAATTTATCTTTGATGTCAGGTGAAGACAATTATATAACTTCACTAGATGCTCGCTAAAGATTCTCAATTTTGAATTTTTGTTTGATTTCTTCACTTATCTGTTCTTAAACTGAAATTCTTATCTGTGAAGTCATTTCAGTAAAGGTGATAAATTTAACTCCTTCACATAACATACTTGAAAAATTGTAATTTAGAAACATTTGGTGTTTCATTTCAGTATATTTTATATATTGAATTTGATGTCTGCAATTTATAGATATAATTTTTAAAAATGAAATTTTAGCAACCATATCTGTCTTCAACTTGAACATTTGCTTTTCTTTTCATCTTTAATGTGTTTTATCACATACACTGTAGTGAAAACAAACAAATTTCAAGATATTTCATGAAGTGTTCAGTCTAATCAATCCTGCAGTATACAAAATCGATTTAAATAATATCATAAAATTCCTATAGAGTTTAATAGTACACAGTTTTTTGAATCCTCATTAATCCTGGTCCATAGACCATGTGTACCTAAATATAGTCATGAGTATACTGCAGAAACTAGGTCAAAATTACTCAAAACATAGTTCACTATCTGATCAGCCATTGGTCTTCTGTCAAAAGATAGGACCAATTACCAACTCCCCAAATAAAAACACACTGTGCATGGTATGCCTGTCAAATGAACTGAATTGAACTGAACATTAACACATTCTAATTTATTGAAAAACTCTATTAACCTTAACACATTCCATTTTACAGAAAAATTGCACTACCACAACATAGAGTACTACGGTATGTGCACGTCATCTGTGCAAGCGCTGTATACTAAAAAACGTTCAACTTCTATATTTTGTGCGATAAGGCAGAAACTTTGCACTATTCAAACTTGAATGTGTTACATCCAAAAATTAAGGTGCATTCTCTTCATTTAGTATTCTATGTGGCAATCAAGAACCTATGGTCTGAGGTGTGTAAGGAACATGTTGCCCGAGAAAGGGGATTGGGGTGTTCTTTTAACTTATTGTTAGAGTGTTAGCTCCAGCATTTTAGCCATACACTTGGTTTAGAGCTTCCTTTGGCAGCTACCAAAGGAAGTCAGGGTGGGAGACAAGACATGCATCCTTTTCACCACCCCTGTATCTGTCACTGATTCTGTTTGACCATCTTGGCATAAGAAAAATTGGTAATCAAGCTAAAACAAGTGTTATGTGACATCACTCGCATCCATAGATCTTATAAAAACACAACTCCATTAAATGTCATGTCCGCATTATGCAAATAAAAAAAACCACTATAATCTGTTTTGGCCATATTATTATCGTTGATTATTAATATTATTAATGTTGTATTTAAACGATGGAAGTAAAGGAAAGGGGAGGCCAAGATGGGTGTGGATGGATGTTATCAGAGCATGGACAATTTTTCACATGACAAAGATAATGTATGATCGAGAATGATAGGGGGAAATGGTGTAGAACAGCGAATGCAGCACAAACAGTCTTCTGAGCCCACTGGCTATGTGACTGATTTGACTTTATTTAAACATTAATAATATAATAATAGGTAACATCAATCAATCAATCAATCAATCGGAGATTTATCAGGCGCACTTACCTATCAACCATGATATGGAGATGCTCCCGGCGACATGTTATGAATTAATTGAATAAAATGCTGGTTTCTTTTTTTTATATGTATATAGAAATATAGCTATCTTCTGCTACGGTTATTTGAAAGATGACTTTACGGTGATAGTTGTGAATTCCATCGGCAGCGTCATCCACATCTTCTATGTTTTGCTTTATAATGTATATAGTCATCAAAAGGTATGCTATTTGACAGGTTTTTTTTTTATGAAACATAATAATAGTAATTTTGATTATTATTATTATTATTGTTATTATTATTATTATGTCATCTTTATTATCATTATGCATATTCTAATATTTTAGGTATTATTTTTGGTGTATATATCCTTATATAATAATACATTTGAATAATAGGTACGGATGGCATTTTTAGACTGTAAAAAGAATTGGGTTCTTCCCCGACAAAAGGCTCAGAATATCCGACAGGGGTTCTTGTACCTCCCATGACCCCTGTTAGCGCCTACAATGTGCTGAAGATTTGTATATCCAATTGTAATTTATTAATCCAAACTGAAAACAAATATGAAGTCCTCACCATCATTTCATTTGAAATATCCAAGGCCATCAAATGTGTATGATAAATTGCCTAATTAAAATTTGGATGCATTTTTTAGCCTGAATCTATTTTTATTCTAAGGTCCTTTGATAATTTTCAATCTGCTAATTTAACGTTACAGTATGAGTAGCACCATTAATCACAATTTGTAAATGTAGTGATCATGTCAATATAAAAATATGGTAGTAAAGCCATAGTATCTACCGTTTCTACACCTACACCTATTAATATAAGCAGTATTGTTAGTATAAGTTAATCCAGCGTATACACATACTTATATGAATGCATTATATACATATATATTTTATTAGCCGAAATTTATATATTAAGTTAGGTTTGTTGCGTAGCAGTGGAATATACGCTTCATACACTACATGAACATACTGTATATGAGAATATAATTTTTATAGTACAGTGCAACTGCAACCAAATCTGGTGGCGAGACTTTTTTCTTACCTTGTTTAGCAAATCCACTGCTTGACAATAATGAGGATTTTGAGTAAAAATAGAATTTTAATTTTGCCAATTAGCACACCCGCCACCACAAAAAATGGAAATTTAAAAAAAAAATAATTAAAGATTTTCTTTATTTTTATTACACTCACCGCTGCCTTGAAATCTCCTAAAATAAGATATGTATCTTCCTAATTATACCAACTTAAAACATTTGACCATCCCATTATTACACTGTTTAGATTCAACAATAAAATACATTTTTATTTTCTCCTCCGTCTGGATGTTTTTGACAAAACCATTTGCTAAATAAAAATCTAAGTTTTATTTATTTTTTTTTCCCGCCCTTCTCTGGCGATCTTTAAAAAGATAAGTTCACAAAACAAGGGGGAAAAAGTCTTACCTCACTTTATATGTAAATGTAGAAACTTGGTTGCAATTATAGGAACAATTTGTATTATAATTCAATCAATAGCCTTTGAGTGATTGATTGATAAATTTTATTCTGTATCAGTAAATACAAAAATACAAAGTAAACAATAGTAAATAAAACACTGGACATGAAGTACAATACAATAATTTTCGTGCAAAGTGCACTTATTCAGGTGAATGTAGAAGTAAACACTGACTGGAAAAAAAATGATACTAAGGGTGATGACCTAAGAAAGGTAAAAAAGAAACCTTATTCCCATTGGGGTCCTTACATTAAGAGAGAGAATGTCTGATCATCATTCCTGTTGATGACATAATTAATGTCGAAATATCGAATCCCAACATGATGGCGTGCATTTCGATACTTGGAGTATGTATTATACTACCTTATCAGAGAGAATACAAAACACAGAAGTAAAAAAATCAGCATCAGGTAAAAAAAAAAAATTTTTTTAGTAAAAATGGATGGTAAAATACAGTACAAAGGAGAAAATATTCCTTGCAATCTCTTGCTGCGGCAAGGCGAGTATAATGCCACTGGACCACAAAGGCCTTTTGGTATTCACAGATTAGACACCCCTCCAATCAACTGATATACACCATCACATATTTGGGAGGGGGGGGGGTGCTTATTAAATTGTTGATTTACTTAAATTCATGCTGTAACATGCCATACTACTCTTTGATTAACTCAGCCCCACTATTAGTCCTCCTGCAGTAAGCCAACTATAAACATGTAACACAAAGTAGGTCAGTTGCTGCAGGGCCGATTAAATCGGTAATAAGTCTGATGTGGGTTGAGCGTAATAAAATGCAGCAAAGGTAACTAGTAGCGCCATGTACGCTTGTAAAGTACAGCTACACTTGTCTTAACAACCATCCCACGTTAATCTTAAAAATAACATGAATTTTCTTGCAGGAAGATACATACAAGAAAACGACGATTGGATTTGCTGTATTATTTACGTTATACATGTATCTACAGCTGGTAGTTGTTGAACAAGAGGCAATAATCGAAACACTCGGAATGTTTACACTAGTTCTATTGATGGCAGGTTACATTGCACCACTGCTGTCTTTGGTAAGTCTTGAGAGAGAGTTTACACTTAAATGTTTTATAATGTTCTCTGTTAAATGTTGTGCTCCAGCACGCATATGACATGATGAGCTGCAGTGACCAGTCATTACTGGTAAGCTTGCCCATTTCTTAGGGTTTACTTTCGGTTCATTTCTTACAGGTTATTGCTGTCAAAATAATTCAAACAAAAAATATAGAGACTGTATATTTTGGCCCAAAATTGGATTACAAGAATAAGCTGTTCTTATGGCTACTAACACGTTATATCGTCATTGCGGACTTATAAAATCCGCATACGCCTTAAAACTAAAAGAAAATGCATACATTTAGAGTCCATACTGAGCCCAAAAAATCTGCAATGAAAATATAACGTGTTTACTGTGATTTCATTACATACATTAAATTTGAAAAAAATGAAATTCCATTGGTTGTAACAGAAAGCAAAAATCTTATTAAGCAATTGTTGATTCATTAATGGACTCAAAATCTATCTTTTGAATAGTTGATTTAGATATTTTCATCAATTACCGGCTGCCGTTGTTCAATAAATATGCTCAAAGCCCAAATGTACAGTAGGCTGCATGAGATAAAAAATAAATTCAGTTTCCGCAGATTTATAGGGCATCAACTGAAAAAGTTCTTACAGTAAACATTAAATGCATTATTATGGAGGAACAGTATTATCTGTGCATTTCTTATTGGTAAGGAAAGTATTTTTGTTAAATTTTTTTTCTTTGATTTAACACAATCAGTATTCTCTAAGCCAGTTCAGACAGTATTTGAAAATTTAGTCTCATACATGTGAACTTACTAGAAAATGATGATGGAGTGTTCACTCTCTCCATAATAAATAGTTTTACTACATGTTTCAGCAAAGTTTGTTTACAAGGCATTTGTCTTCTATTAGCAATGGATTTACGCTTAGTTGTCTAGACAAATATTCTTTTTTTTTCTTCATATTAGTTGAAAGTTCATGATTGGTAGATATCAACTGATTTAAAATGATTAATAACCTTTCAGAATGTTTTCTTTTGACATTATAGAAGATTTTGAAGAAAATTTATAATAAACAATCCATAGAAATCTAACAGTTAGATAATTTTTGAATAATGAATACAATTATATAATAAGCAGAATTGCCCTGTTAAATGTTTTCTATATTCTGTCCAAATTAAGGTAGAATTTTTAAAATTAAAATAGATAAAAAACAATTATTGTAAGTTTTGATAATATGATCACTCGATAAATGGTATTAATCATGGTTCCATTTGTTGTAGTTGAGAGGATTTTAAAAAATATGAATGGAACCACCACTCATATATTAGTAGCTTTCTCTTGCCTTTCAATTCATTTCTTTGAGGTCAACTATGGTCAGAATAATGCGATAGAACATTATAAGTCACCTTTTAAGCATTAAATTTGGACTTGAAGTAGGCGATTCAAATTAATCCATTTTCACACAAATGTAAAAATTCATTATTACATGTACAAAACAAAACTCTCTTACAAAATATATTGTAAAAAATGAAAGAAAAATAAATAAACACTTATTATGAATACTTATTATTCATATGTGTTGTGTTACTGAAGGGGTTGTAGCTCATACGGTATATAGTTTATTTGCTATTGGCAATAGTTTTAATATGCCTAAATATAGAGATAAATCTATCAATCAACCCATGAATCGTGATAATCAATATTCACAATATGCATTAGACCAAATTACAAAAAGAAACACGTTTTCGTTCAGATATTTTGAAAACTTTCGTTCAATAGATACACATGGATTAGTGGTGGCTTGGATACATACATTTAGGAATTAAATGCTGTTCATAGGGTCCAGGGGCCTCAATATGGGCCAGGGGACACATGACCATGTGTCAAAAAGTGAAGCCTCATTGGGGTTTTAGAGAGCAAGAGCCCCTTGTCACCCAGTAAATTTTGTAATTTTGAGCTAATTTTAAGCTTTTCTGTGATGTTCTACAGTTTTATGCTCAATTAATTTAAATTTAAATTTTGTTATTGAAGGTTTGGGGGTTTAGGAAAAGGTGTGGTTGACTTGTTTGATGAAAGGCTTAAAAGCCCTCCTCCCCTCCTACCACTTGCACTTATACTGTAGTATACTCATTGCTTCTGAGGATGTCTTCTATTCTTTAAGAGAAGGTAAATTAAAAAAATTATCGTAAAGAAGGGCAAAAAAATGTTTTTGTTTGGCATTACTGACAACAATACCTCATAAATTTGAAATTTAACCTATTTGAATTGTCTGTTTCCTTTGACCGCCTGTGAGCACAGGCAAATTTGCACTCTGTTATTAAAATTTTTGCTAATAGGTTTACATAGCAATTACTGTAGCAATTACCAGTAATTATAACTCAAAGTACCCCATGTGTTAATTGTTCTGAAGTATAGGTTAAAGGTTGTGTTGTAATTTTATTCACCTTACTCCAATTGAACGTCGTCATAAAATTAATTCAGTATTTCAATTACTTTGTATTTTTAAATATAAGTCTAAATAGAAGAGCTTTATCAATAAACAAGCATTAAAAATCCTGACAGGATCAGAGCTATCAACAGAGGGTGCTGTTCACTCAAAGTTTATAATTAATCTTATGTTGGCTCCCACAGGCTGATGAAATTATGTTGATTAAACATGAAGGATGTTTGCACAAGTCTTGGTTTAAACTAAATCAGTGTATCGTACAAATAAATACATAAACAAGATGAAACTTTACTCCTATATACTTGCATAGATTAAATATGCTGGTTTCTGTTTGAGTATTTCCATTGTAAAATGTCTGTAAAACAAGGCAAAATGGTGTCTTTATGTTCTTGATTATGGTGATGGGATAAGAAAAATAACAGTACTAGGAAACAAAACGGATAGTGGAGGATTTGCATGACATTAAAATTCTGTCTTCAAGCACTCAGACGTAAACAAAGACAAGAAAACTGAAGGAGTTAGCCACAAAACTGGCCTCCAGTAAATCATAAAAAAATTTTAAAAAACTAAAGTTGAATAATCAGCAGTACAGAAGCAGCAGAATAGAGATTGATGACCAACACTTAGCCAAGGGTGACAAACATACCTGGGTGCATTATTAGCGAGCAAGTAGGTGGTGGCAGTGAAGACATAAATAACAGAATTTTGGAAAAAAAATTATGTCATATGTGAAACTGAAGCAGGTGTGTAGATCTAACAATAATCACTGAAAACCGAAATCAAACTCATGCCCTTGTCAAATCTGTATTATTTTAGGGATGCAAAACATGAAAATAAATGAAAAAGGCACCAGAAAACTGAGCACTTTTCAAATAAAATGCCTTAAGATTTTTTTTTAAACAGATAGAACTACATTGGTGTCACACAAGCACATATTCAACAGAGCTACGGAAAAATAATAATCAGTGATAAAGTAAACGGCAGACTATAGAATTGGATTGTACGATGTTTAGATTGGTGCATGACTGTAATGTCATGGAGGCCTAAAGGAAAGAGAAAAGTTGGATGTCAACAATTTGAATGTTGCACTCTATAGTAGAGAAGCAGAAGAAACGTATTAGGATGGCACTCATGAAAGAAACAAAACTGATAGCCATAGATAAAACTAAGTGGAGATATTTAGCCTACAACCTTGCAGAATTATGGGACACCTGACACCTGACCACGATAATAGTTGAGTAAAAACTAAATTGTTTTGATCAATCTTGTTAAAAGTTTGGTGTTTACATTTAAATAGACTTCATAAAAAAACACAAGAATGTAATTAGAAAAAAACTCTTCGTTTATATAAATTCAAACTAAATTTATTGCAGTTTCTATAATTGACAATACTCTTGAGCATCAAGATGACATTTTGTATTTATAAAAATTCTATGTACAATTTATGCATTGATATTCTCTGTTGTCATTTTCTTGTAATACAACTTTTACAAGAAATGCAACTAATTTAGTGCTCATGTAAACCTGTGTACCATCCCCTCCTTACCCCATGGCAAATTGGAGTTTAGCATCAAGAAAATATGTATTTCTTTTAAATGTATGTACCCAAATTCATGCATTAAAATTTATATTTTGAAGTCAGTTTTTACAGTAAGCACAACTAATAGCGCTTTAGCCTTTTTTTTTTTTTTTATTAAGGCTTGCCTCTTCCCCAACCCTTCACAATGATGACTACAACCTATGTCTTGCCTAGACTTAAACTTATGCCAATAGCAAAGTCATACCCAGCATGACAAACCTAAGATTTGAACTTACGATCTTTGGATTGTAAGCCTGAAGGCATGTGGCCAGCTCACATTTGACAGATTAAACAATTAATACTTTACCACAGCCTAGAATAATATAAACTCCAAATACATGAGTGGCATCTTATTATGACCTTTCTTAGAACACTTATCTTGTTGTCATGTACCTGACACAAATTACTACAGGTGCGTCATTGTCACCTGCCAGAATCTGCCCTCACCTGAGCCCATCATGATTACCCTTTCAGCTAGTACACCTGTATTGTTCATGAATTCCACCTGCAAGGTTTTACGACAATTATACCTTGCCTAATAAAATGATGACAAATGCGATAATAACCTAAGGTAGAAAACATTAAACTAAGCCACACTGATTTATTTTTTTTTCTTTTCTTAGCATCTTCTGCAGTTATATACATGTTTGTGTTAAGAGCAAATTTACTGAAAGTTAAATTTGGACCTTGCATTGCTTGAAATGTCAACTGAGTAGACAAGAAAAGTTTTTTTTTTTAGGTTGAGTGATACGGAGCTGATAGTTTGTGAATAAGGTGCCCTACAAAACTATTTTCTGATTATTAATAAATAATTCCCTTTTCTGCAGTAAGCTACATAACCAGTGGCGCTGCCAGGATTTGCCTGACAGGGCTAAGCTGCTCAAGAGAATCAGGTCTGACAGTTTTCAACAGAGAACCTCTTGCACCTAAAACTGGGCAATTCAGGCCATTTCAATCTGTTCTAAATAGTTTTAGCAATAT